TGTGTGTGTGTGTGTGTGTGTGTGTGTGTGTGTGTGTGTGTCTGTGTGTGTCCGTGTCCGTGTGCGCGTTGGCTCTTGCAGAAGGTAGGGAGTGTGTGAACTGCGGGGCCACGTCGACTCCGCTGTGGAGGCGGGACGGTACGGGTCACTATCTGTGTAACGCCTGCGGACTCTATCACAAGATGAACGGGCAGAATCGCCCTCTCATCAAACCCAAGCGACGGCTGGTACGTCTCCACCATGTTTCTCTGTTGATGACATTTCCGTCTCTCTCTCTGTTTTTCCCCTATCCAGGAAGAAGTAGGCCTATTAGCTGCAGGAAATTGACTCGACAAGTGCAGGTCTCTGCTTTCAGATATTACCACAGAAAAAAAGTGCAGTTTTTTTTAATGCAATGACAGTGCTACTTTTTATTTGCTAAAATTGTCATTGATTCACACAGTAGGCCCCATGTATATCATAGAACGCTACCTGTGGCCATCAAAGCTTTACAGCTATTGTACGACATCTGGACTATTTCCACTTGTAGTACCTTATTTACGTCCTGCACAGTGTTATTTAACTTTTAAATATTTAATTTAAAATTGCACTGCGAGCGCCTTAGTTTTCTTTTTTTTTTTAAGAGAGATTACATTTTCTATCTTTCATATTTAATTGAGCAAATAAAACAACCCCCCGGGATAAAACAAACAAACAAAAAAACCCCAAAACAAAACACCCCCCACTCTGATTCTAATTAAAGGAACTGAGCATGGCTGCAGTTGTGCACTCTTTACAGCATCCATTTTTTTATTTCATCTTGTAGGTGAGCCTATATTGTAGCTATAAGCAGACCTTTTTGCTTTCCAAGTGCAGCTATTTTTACAGTTATTTTGGGGAAAGCCCCTCTCATCAGAGCTTACATCTCTTATGAGCTTCACAGGAGTTCCCCACTCTTTGAAAAAAAAAAAAATCTTTCGAGGCAAAAATGGCCGTCCAGACCTCTTCTGCTCTGGACTTCTTCTCTGCACCACTTTGCCTCTATAATATAAAAACCCGACTACTCAGGAAAGAGCTGCCGGATATCTGAGCAGCGCAGATAAGTCGCTTTCAACAACACAAGCCCCGCTTCCCCAGTCAAAACATAAAGGCTGAGGCAGCCCGAGCCAGGCCAGACAGAGAGCCACGACGAGAAATTGTTTAGCGTTGTAATCACCGCTTACATACACGAGGATGCTCAGGTATGGGTAACAACCAGGCCAGTTTGACCTTGAACCTCTTTCTCGCGGAGGTGAAAAGGGTCAGGAAAAAACTGTACAGGCCAGAAAGTGAAAATTAGCACGAAGATAAGATCTGCGAGCCGAGTCATTTCTCTATGAAATCACCACATCGAGTAAATACCAATCCTGTTGACCTTTCATTGCTGATGTTTAAAGTTTTGGCTGCGAAGAAAAAAACAAAATGTTGGAAAAATAACAAAACCGGTTAAACTATGATGATAGGTTAAGTGAATAAAAATAGAGATTATTTCATAAGGTGTGTTCCTCCACTGTGATTGGGTATTCACAGCGATCAGCAGCAGGGGTTATTGGGCCACCACGTGTGTATAATTGGAAATTCCTCCCTGAGATAATGTAGTCTTTTACGTTAGCGTGTCCTCTGCGGTCACCTGTCTATTGATTGTTTTTAGAGATTATAACATCAATGTCAAGCCACTGCAGCAAACTGGCCTGTGAGGCAGGCAGCTGAAATCCATCGGAAGACATGACTTTCACTGTGGCAGGATGGAGCGAGGGTTTTACTCTGCTAGTAGCCTGCAGCGAAGCCAAAAATACCCACTTCTTTCTTTCTTTCTTTCTTTCTTTCTTTCTTTCTTTCTTTCTTTTTCCAAACTGTGTGCTTTTAACTGGCGTGCAATTATTGCCATGTGGTTCATTTCACCGCATCATGTATTCATATTTTGTGCGCATATTGGAAGAATCCAAAGCATACATTCCAGACGAGGCCTTTTACGTTTAATAGATGCCAAATCTATACGTTTCATCTCCTTCCTTTTCCTTTCCATTGTCTGACGTCACGTGTTGGCTTTTTTTTTAAGGAGGGGGTTAATTTAATCACATTTAATAGCTCTCCCATTTCAAGGCCCTGCTTTTATGTGTTCTGTAAATATTTATTCTCCAGGAGGTATGAGCTCTACGTGGCTATTTTTAGTCCCGGGTGAAAGCAACCCTGTTTTCTTTTTTTTTAATTTATTTCTTTCCTCATTGAAAAAAATTTCAGCTTGCACTAAATGCAAAAGAAAATGCACTGGGTAGAGATATACAATGTATATATTGTCAAAATAAAAGCTTCTTGAATGTTTCAAGCAGCTTTGCGCAATGCTGGAGTGAAAAATTAAAGACTGTATTTAAGCAGGTATAATAGAAAATGCATGTGTTGTTTCTTTGTTAAATCAATCGAGGATACCATGGATACAGGGCTGCTGAATTTACACCAATTTATCCCGATGACTTAAAATTCCACAGATATCCTTGCAAATCCCTCTTAATGAGTGCCACATGGCTATTTCGCGTAAGCAAAGTTAACTAGTGTGTGTATTTTTTAAGCCATATGTAAGTGTTAAAACGAGCCCTGAATGATGGTATTAAAGCTGTTAGAATAAACCTCGGTGATGATTGGGTCATTGAGTGGTCATGTGATGTTTTTTCTTTCCCCTTTCCCTTTTTTTGGCCTGTCTGCGTCGTGCAGTCGGCAGCCAGGCGGGCAGGGACGTCGTGCGCAAACTGTCAGACGACAACGACGACGCTGTGGCGGAGAAATGCCAACGGGGACCCGGTGTGCAACGCCTGCGGCCTGTACTTTAAACTGCACAATGTGAGTAATAAACCTTCACTGGATATCTCTCATAACTATCGAGGCTTGCCTCCAATATTTATTCGTCCAGCTCCCATCTACGTCCCCCTTCTCCTCAGATCTGCCTTCTGTATTTCTCTCCCATCACGTCCTGCTGGGCACCTTCCCCTCTCTCCCTTTGAATATTTTATCTGACTTGTCCCTGCAGAGAATTTCCGGGGCACGGCGATAACAAATACTGTAGAATTAATATGATTTATTGGCAGTAAGTGCGAATCTAAAATGTATAAGACCTAAGCGAACTAAGCCCGCAGCCGCCTTGCTTTTGAATATTAAAGAAGGGGCTTAATTAAAATTCGATTAATTTTTTTTAGACCGTTTTTTTCCCCCCTTCTTCTTCTTCTATTTCTAGCCTTTTGGTTCCATGCGCGCCAGGGACTCTGAGTCCCCCCTCTGACCACCAATCCGTCTGATTCGTTTTGGGTTGGTTAGTGCCTCGCCACATCATTTCACATCCTCAATCTGAAAACCCCAGGGACCCGTTTATCTCTCCCTCTCTCTCCTCTCCTGTGCACAAAGCTGTCACTTTTAATCAAACTGCCATTGTGGCTGAAACTAATAATAATAATAAGCAGGATAACTGCTCTGAGGCCACATGTAGGTAATTTTCCTCCCCCTTGTACAGACAACAGATAGAGGTTGCCTATACCCCTGTGCATAAGGGGAAGAGTATCCTGCTCTGCTGGCCAGCTTGTCACGCAAGCGCTCTCTGTTAAATCATTTTCCCATGTTACTTTTGGCACATAGTGAGGCAGTGCAGAAGCAGATTCAGACCAAGGTTAAAAGGAGAGTAGAATAATATTTCCCCGTTACATATTAGCATCTGAACTGACCCCGACCTTGGCGTAATTATGAAATTAGTTTATTTTGGTAAATCCAGACTTCTGTTGGGGTTTGCTCCCTTTGAAACAAATTCCACATTCTTCATGGAGAATTTAGTGGAGTCCCCGCTGGCCTGCATGGGCTCCTAATGTGTGTAAGTGTGAGCGTACAAAACACCTGATGGTAGCAGTCTGTTGTCCCGTAAGCTCAGATAAGAAGCTTGTGAAAACAGAAAAGTTGCCACAAACACAAGGTTGTGTTAACACCCAAAACATAGACGGCCTTCTCTGAGTAATCAGGGGTTTTCTCACTGTGCCTGTAAGGTGTCTTTCTCATCTTTATATTTCTGAGAGGTGTACAGTCCTCACACTTCTGTACGGACGCTGAGGTTTCAGGTGGTTAGCTGCTGGTTTTTGGAGGGAGGATGTGAGAGCTTGCACTGTGCATTCTGTGGGGGCCATTGACTCAAATGCTTTTGTTTGATATGCTCGGGTGTTGGTGGCCGAGCACACGCTGGAGGCCCAAGAATTGTTTCGCGAGACGGTAGACATCTCAGCATCAAAGAGCGGAGGCTAGACTGGCTTTCGGTGGGTGTAGCATGCCCTAGAACTGGAATCAGGGCACGCAAGGCAGAGAAGGTCACCCAGTATGGAGTCAAAGCTTAGCGAGTGAAACCCACATCACTGGGGGGAAAACAGATCTGTGCCCTCCACTAATCATCGAGGCCGCTGTTTAAAGAGTCAGCGAAAAATGCCAATGTCTCAGACAGCTCGAGAAATCCCTGTTCCCATTTCCCCGGGAAGAACCACTGAGAAAGATCAGGAAGCCAGTCGGCCTCATCCACCTCCCTCATAATCCTGCCCACAGTCGGAATTCCATCATCCAGCTCTCATTCCTCGCTAAAACCTATGCTGGAATATGGCAGCTGGGGCCATTTTGGCCAAGAGTCGGCCACGCGGTCGAGAAGGAGGAGGGTGGAGAGAAGGACTTGGCCGACGCTGACAGTCGTCATGGCCATGTGTCTCTGTGGTTGACCGGCTGCACATTAGCTGCCAGACTCTTCTCCGTCTGTGTTCTGCACACGCTCTCTCCATCTTCCCTGCACCCCCCTCCTCCCCTTCATCTGTCCTTTTTCTCTCTTTTCTCTTCCTGGCATAGCTACAGCCTTAGATACAGTCCAGCTTATAGGAATCAACATTCATATCCGACCCAACACACACACACACACACACACACACACACACACACACACACACACACACACACACACACATTCTCACAGTATAGATAAACAATCTTGTGTTTCGGGATGCGACAGCCTGATTCGCCTCGTAATGGGACTCCATTACATATCATTATGTCTGTCCAAAACCCCAAAATCTGCCTCTAAGAGAACTAAAAAGCTCTTTGTGCACCACATTTTTCTTATTTACTCTGAAACTCTGTTACACCCCTCACTTACGGTTTGTTTTGCTTTAATATAAATCTCATACTGGAATCTTAAATTTTAAGATTCGTATCTCATGTGAAATGTTCACGAGGACCAAATACTCATCTGCCATCTTTTTCTTTCTCCTTTCGAGAGCAGATCAACCGACCTCTGACCATGAAGAAGGAAGGCATCCAGACCAGGAACAGGAAGATGTCCAGCAAGTCAAAGAAGAGCAAAAAGGCCCAAGATAGCATGGACGACTTCTCCAAGAGCCTGATGGACAAGACCAGCTCATTCAGCCCGGCCGCCCTGTCCCGCCACATGTCATCCTTCCCCCCCTTTTCGCACTCCGGCCACATGCTGACCACCCCCACACCCATGCACCCCTCCTCGAGCCTCCCCTTCACCCCGCACCACCCTTCCAGTATGGTCACAGCCATGGGTTAGAGCTCCCCGCGGTGCACCACTCCTGAATCCTCAGCCTCGCCACCACCGCACCTTTCGGTACCTCTGCTGACCTGCTTCCATATCCTAAACGACAAACTGCTTCTCGGTCCGATCTAAGCTCCCCAGTCTCACCGCCGAGCCACGGCGTGTGAGTGCGACAGGCTTTAGGCTCCTGTTCTCCTCAGTTGTATCTTATTTTTTATAAAAATCGAAGTGTACCTCTGCGATGTGAATGCTTTGCAGACTTGACTTGACTGTGGCGCACCGACCTCCAGGGGGACGTTTTTTTGTTTTCCCTCCTCCCCGAGCTGCCACCACCACATTGAGGCTGTCCTCCCAGCTCATCCACACGATAAGGAGCTCCATTTGTGTACAAAAAGCCATTTTTCCACACTTGACATCACAAAAAACTGACATTAAAATAACTTTTGTGACGCCCTCTTCCTCAATGTCCAAACCCGACTCTCTTCACCTTGCACCTGTGTAACAGGAACCCCCCCCCACCACCACCACCCCCTTCCCGCTCCCTTGCTTCCTCTCCTTCTTCTCCTCCTTCTTCTGCTGAAGATGAGGAGAGACAGACGTTGAATATATTTGTACAAATTGTATGAAATACAGTACATTTAATGAAGACTTTTTAATTAAGTAAGAAAAAAAGGAAACATGCCCCTGGGCAGCTAACAACAAGAAGGGTACGAGTCGCAGCAGGTGGAGAGACTTGCCACTGGAGGAGTGAGGAGAGGCTGCCTCCGAGTCCCGGAGGAAAGAAAAAAAAAGGGAGGAGGAGGTGAGGGAAAGACTTTTGAGAAAGGGCAGGCCTCGGTTTTTGCCTGCATGAATTGTGTTGCATTAAGTTTGCAGAGAGTCAGCGGCTCCGGCTGCAGGCATCTCTCTTCTTCTTCTTCTTTTTTTTTTTTTGGATGTGCTATAGGTCTCGGGCAATTGGTTTGTGTTGAAGCGCGCACGTACAAGCACACACATACACGCACACACTTACACGCACGCACACACTCGCACACACTCGCACACACTCGATCACCTGAAAGACTTTCTTCCTGCCCACAGATTATATGCATTGTGAAAAAAGTTCCTGTATTTGTTATTTGTATGTATAAATCAGAGTACCAAAAATACGAAAGAAACAAAGATGTAGAATTATTTCTTTATGTTATGCAGACTGAATGGTTGTAAAAAATTTAATAATAATCACTAGTGTAAAATATGACTGCTTTTTTTGTTTCGTAATTTTTTTTTTTCCTCTTTGAAAATAATAAACTAGTTTAATCTCTGTTGACATGTTAGCTGTGGTTGAGAGCTGTCTTTTCTGTCTGCCTCTGTGCTGTGTGATCTTCGACACATGCTCACACACCCCCACCCACTCACCTACCCACCACAACCACATCTAGTAACGCCCACCTTTTTTTTTTTTTTACCCAGCATTCACAGGAACAGCTCTTAGGTCAGTTGAGCACAAACAGGAAGTGAAGGAATAAACAGCAGCAATGGAGGAACAAATCAAATGGCAGGGTCAGACAGGCCACTATGCGTGGGGCACCGTGGGCTCAAGTGGCTTTTGTGTCATCCGACAAATACATAAACACATCGCGACCGACATGCAACAAAAAAACATCTGTCGTACACTGAGCGAGAAGGACCCAACAGGAAGAAGCATCGTTTCAGGCATTTTTCTTGCATCCTAATAATGACTAATAATTAAGTCAGATAACAAACACAGGCTGATATTAATTTAAGCTGAGAAATACTGTATATTACAATCATATACATATAACAATACCACATAATAATATATATAAAATTGCCACATGGCTGTGTGCAACACCCTTTAAAGAAAAAAAAGTTAATGAACACTTCTAAACATTGAGTTAACCTCACTGAATGTATCACCTCTAGTAGTGAGAAATGATTAAAGCGTTAAGCAGGAGTGGAAAAGAGGAACTACTGTATGTGTTTGTTTCAACCTCTGAACCGCAGAGTGGATAAAGTTCCCTTCATCTTTAATATCATTTTGCCCGTCAGTTTATTAAGTGATCAGTTTTGCTCATGACATTTCCACAGCTCGCGCTCAAAGTAGAGTTTTAGGGCTGTTAGTGTGAATGCATGATAGTGGCCTGTGTAAGGAAGCAGGAAGGAGAGAAAAGAAGATAATGAGCTGATATTAATATGAAAGATTGCAATGCAGGGCTGCAGAGCTCAGTAATACACTGTAGTGGGTGATTAGTGTTGTTAAAGCTGGGAAGTTATCACTATATGCTCTGTACATGAAATCCAAGACATGATGCATATATGATTTATTCCATTCATCCAACGAGTATGACTTTGGACGATAAAGTTCTCAATTGAAGAATTTCCTGCATGTTATCCCCCTTCATTTTTCTTTACCATCATTAGCCTTCCAGTAATCTACAAGCGGCATCTTCTTCGCATCAACGCAGCTACAGTGGTTAGAGTCACATCAGTTCTCTTTGCTTGCATGATGTTTTATTCTGTGTATGCAGAGCAGTTCGTGACAGCTTGGCTTTAATGAAATCCGCGATGAAAAAGTACGTCTGCCGCATCTTCCATCTCAGGTGCAATTCAAAATGCACATCAAAAATTTAAAAATAATTACGTAAACGCAGCAGAACAGGCAAAAGATTAAAAAAAAATGTTACTTTTTTTTTTTTTTTTTTTTTTTTTTTTTTAGCTACAATGATCCCATTTAAGAACTGATAATCATGAAAATGGTGTGAATATGGAAAAAAAAAGCAGTAAGTTCTAAAGGATCACATTTGAATAAAGAATTTAGGAAAGACTTGTGAAGAAACTCTGGTGAAAATGGTGAAAGTGACGTGTTTCCACAGTGAGCCTGGACAACCGTGTTTATAGTACCTGACTTACACATTTAAGCAGAAAAAAATACTAAATGTAAATGTGGTAAAACAAGGAGGATCTTTAACTTTCAGCATCATTTTTACCCTTTAAAGCCCTCCAAAAACTTACAAGAAAACAAAGCAAAAGAGATTGCGCTGATGCTAATTTGTTACAATCTGCGATAATAACAGGATGCGGGAGTTAAAAAAAAAAGACACCCACATCAAGCTCAGATGAGAGAAAAAAAGAAATTAATTTATTTTTAGTTTTATTATGCCACAAGTTAACCAGGTAGTCTTACAGCAAACTTCTGCACGTAGTCGGCCTCTTAAGGTTTGATCCTTTCGCATGCAAAGCACTGAAATGTCGTCTTTGGCTCGAAACCTCTAAACAACTCTAAAGATCTAACTACCCCTAAACTGTGCACTGTTACAAACCATTTCCAGTATCGAAATATATTTGCACAAGTGGAATGCCTGCTTCCCGGCAGAAAAGGCCATACAGGAGTCAGGTATTTGGCATCATTTGTTTCTGAGCTGCTGTGACCAATCAGGAGATTTGCTCCTGTGTTTTAATAGTGAGGTCAAGGGGGCATGTGGAATGAGAACAGAAATAGTGAGTGTATGCGTGTGTGTATAGAGGGATTGAGGAGAGCTTTGCCCTGTGGTGGGACCCCATGGCCTCTGGCTGACCTTTTCCCCGCTGGTGTCTGGCTGTGGACGTCTGCCAAGGGTGACTGGAGGTGCGGCGACTGGCTCAGGTGAGGATGAGGCACTCTCTGTGATCTCGTGTCCTCTTCCCTCCGTCATCGTCGTCATCCACATCACAAACCACTTATTTCTGTCCGTCTCTCCTTCTGTCTGTCTCTCTTCCTGCGTCTGCCTCTCGTCTTTCAGGTGAGGATGATGACAGATTTGTGGGTGTAATTGGCTCTTAGGAATAGTCCATCTTCATCCACGCTGCACCGCTGTCACCCTCAGCAGAGGTCAGGTCAAATTTGGGGTCGCTAAGAATTTGATGGCTTTGAAAACCACTATTCTTCCAAAAAGATGCAACATTTGCTGCTTGGAATTAATATGTGAAAAGGCAATACCCATTCAATAGCAGGGGGTATTCAAATAAACTCTGAATATTTTAAGTAAAGACTGAAAGAGAGAAAAAAAACATCAGAATTTCCCCCCAATGCTAAAAATGATCACACAACAGGAAGCAGAAACCTATTTGTACAGGATGTGTTGATTGGTCCCTCACACCTTTCTTTACATTACACATGGTTTATGTGCAAAACGTTTCATGTCTTGGTTTAGGTGTGTTCTAGTTTCTCAGCACATACAAACGCAGTGTTGTATTAGTAATACTGGTTTGAAAGTGGGACCAATCTGTGTCAGTGTGGTCTCATGTGGGGGAACAGGTTGTGTGTTGTGGGCTAATGGTTCTGTTACTGTCTCACAGCTCAAACCAATACCTGTTTAACAGTGTATAGTATTTTTTTCTTAGCTACATATTTTGAGGCCTGGATGAAGAACCCCCCCCCAAAAAAAAAAGAAAAAAAAAAGAAAACAACAAAAATAAGCGTGGGTTCGGCTTAATGGTTATCCACATCCCATACCACACGCTCTACAGTGTGTCATATAACATTAAAATTTGGCACTGGTACGAAGAGACAGACAACACTGTCTAATGACAAGTCGATTAGAATGACACTGGTGTGATACACTCAACTTTGTGAAAATTGTTCTACTGCTATTTGTTGTCTGTGCAACTCTTTTTCCTAAGAGTGATACTGAAATGCTTTATAGCAGGGTAATCAATGCAAACTCTCTCTCTCTGTGTAGCCAAAATGTTCAAAACCACTCAAATCTAGAGACGTTCTCTAGATTTTAGAGAACTATGCTTGTGACTATACCTTGTGGCCATCTGGCTTCGATAAAGGTTTTGAACAAGCTGACCAAATCTGCGATGTGTATGCTATCATATAATGTAGAATGACATGACTTTGCCCTCAATTAAACTAGCAGCAAGAGACTACCTTCAATCAAACACTAAAGTCAGCTCCATTAGGCACATGTTGCTCCTTTAGCTATCTCACTATCAAAGGGATTGTTACACAGTCAGAAACCTTTCTGACACCACTATGACTAAGAAAACAGTCATTGGTTTCTACAGTCATTGAACATAACAGATACAACTATCATCTATGTACCCCCAGTATGAACTCACAGCAGTTGCTTAGCTTACGAGCACCTCTGAAAGCATTGAGTTAGCATGCTATAGTTTATTTACTGCAAAAAAAATTTGAAGTCTCTTGGTACTTTCTGGCAGTTTTGGTGTACGACTAGGCTAGCTACCCAAGCTATGCTACCCAAACACTAGCTATAGCTTCATCTTCTTGGACAGACTCTCAGCGATGAAGCAAGTGTTCCCTACTTTGTGCAACAAATCCAAAACAAACAACATAAACACAGAATACAGTTAGTACCATTTCTAGCTAACAGTGTATACGATCTAGTGTGTGGATTTAGCTGGTGTAGTGTCTGAAATTAAACACTGCAAGCTTTACGTGTAAAAGAAATGACACCTTGAGGTATACTAAACAATTCATATACAGTGAAGATGTAAGCGTAACACACATAAACAGCAAAGAATATCATCTAACACAGAACAATGCCTGATAAAATATACCTATGCTAAAAATATACCTATGCTAACACTGACAGTGCAGATGGTGGTGCTCCTTCTTTTGCTATACTGTCAAGATGGTGGCATAGATGGTTAGTGCCAAGTATTAATGTTCCTGTCTGGCTGTCACCTACCACCTCCCAGATGACTACTCTAGTAGAGGTTAAACACTTGGGACTCCTCAAAGAAACCCAGTTATCTTAATCTCAAGAACTTCAGATGAAACTTTTGTTATCGAGGTTTTGTTGTGAATCACTGGAAAATAAGAACTACTCTGAGCTCAGATAAAAATGTTTCGACTCCACTTTTTTATCACAACTGACAACTCTAATTTTAGGCCCCACAATGAGCTTATGGTGACACTGAGCTCATTTATTGTAGTCTGTTGTATCTGTGATCTCCTGCGATAGCACTTTGATATGACACACAATATAGAATGTCATCTAAAAATTATGATAGGATTTGTGTAAGTCATTTTTCTGAGAGTAAATGGCACCGGTTCTTATCCCCTTTCTTTGTTTTCGAAAGACCTCAAGCCCAAAACATGAGGGATGAGCTTCTGGAGCATTGTGGGAGTTCTCCCACTTGTTCGAGACCCCCTCGCCACTTTCAAAAGAGCAGCCTCGTGCTGTATTGTCTCCTTAACAATCGTAAATTTGAACCATAATCTCCCGTCACAACATGGCAGATAAAAGATAATTATCTCTTTTACTGAGGTACCCTGGGGCTTCTTGGACGGCCTAGCAGACAA